AACCGAAACAATGTCCACTCACGACCGCGACTGACGCCGAACTTCAACTGAGTGAGTGAGTAAACTACTCTGTAGATGTAGCTCCCTATTTACAGAATTAATTTACATACAAGGCTACCAAATCAACGAAAATTTCGCCATTTTGGAACCGAAAAAAATTAATTATAGCTAAACAAAACAAAATTACACTGCCATTTACATTCAGTGGCTTCCCACATGATAGATGTAGAAATTAAAAAATAGATTGAGTTAAACAATTGATATTTCAAAAGTTATCGTGTTTACAAGCCTTGGGGACATGATAAATCCACACCATAAGCCACTAAAACCCCTTTTTTATTTAAAAATAGCAATTAATCGATTTAAAAAAAAATATTAATAAGTTTAACAATCATTTATCTTTCTAACAATGTGCTTTTTATGTAATTTATATGCATAATATGGTTGCTAGATACGATTTTAATCGATAAAAACGTTGGAATCTTAATTTTTAGGCGTTAGTAGAACATACCTTGTGCTTTCGCTTAAGGCATGCAATATTGCACATATCCCCCTCACTAGAGTTTTTGTCTATTGAAATACAAACAAAACAATAAATTAGTGTTAATAACAAAAATAAATTAATTTAATAGGCTGTAAAGGTCGCGGTGTAGAAAAAAACATCGTGAGGAAAACTGCATGTGTGAGGAATATAATACTTCTAAGAAGTGTAAAGTTTTACAATACGCACTATCAGAAATCACCACCAGTAGTGGGATGTATGTAGGCTGTAACTGTAACTATTTTTACCTACCTTACATAAATAGGATAGCTATTTGTCGGGCGTTCACCGTAGCGTTTTTCTTTAGATAATCTTGCGCCATTTAAGGTTGGCATACACGTGGTAGAATCATGCTGCAGCTATATAGCTATATTGGTTGTAGCACGAATGGGTCGGCTGGAAGGACCACGCTCTCACAGGATACCAGCATATAATAACAGCTCAATGCTGCTGTTTCGTATGGTGAGTGTAAAGTACCGAAGACCATTTTTACTGAACATGAGGCCTTTCATCTTAGTCCTCAGTGGGTCAGGGGTGACAACGCCTACTGTACGACGGTATCATTGGTCTAGTGGTCGTAAACGCTATTGCTGATAATATGGTCTCGGGTTCGAATCCCGCGTCAAGCCAAAATTAGTTATTCGGCTTTTCTGTCAAGAAATTCTCAGTAGCAGTCGGGAGTTATGAAGTTCTTTTTTATAGGATAAGGGTGACAAACGAGCACACAGTCCACCTGATGGTAAGTGGTTGCTACAGCCCATGAACATCTACATCTATCCTCTATTACAGATCAAAATGCAAATGTGTTGTCACCCGTGAGGACTAAGGTGGAATGCCTCTTTTCCAGTAAAACGGGTCTTTCAAAGTTGGCGGTGTTTCACCCCCGTGTCTCAGAAAACACGTAAAGCCGTTGCAACTGCGCCTGATCTCTCTCCAGTCCTGTTGGTTTACTGTCCCATCGGACTATGAGAGTCAGGGAAGAGAGAGTGCATCTTGTGCTTGCGCATATACTTGGGCACTATAATCCTGTCCTGCGCAGATGGCTAGTCTCCGTTAAGTTTATTTTCTGTGATGTTGGTGTTGTTAGTCTATGTGGCTCTTACAGGTTCATTTGACACAAGGCCCGCGGCCTGAGCCGAGGCCGCGAGCCATTTAAAAGAAAAAGGGAAAGGCAATGATAGGGATGAGGATGATGATGGTTTATGAATTAGTATTGTTACCAATCATCATGTCCCCTCTGTTGAGGTTTTTTGAGCTATCTAACCGCTGTACGAGTGGGGGTGTGCAAATCTTCGCCTCTAACTGCTCAGGTCGCGTCGGTCGATGTTCTCGGCGGTGAGAACCGCCCAGCTACGCGGGTGTACGGTGTGTACTGGAACGCCCCATCCGTTATCTTACTTGTGCTTGTCTCATTTGGTGTGGGTGTAGTGTCAGTGTATGATGTGCATGCGACGTTTGGGTCGACGGGTTATTCTGTAAGTACGTTACGCGGTCTACGGAGAGTTCGCGCGATGTTTGGTATCGGGACATAGTTGACCGCCGCGACCGAAATTCAGTCTGGAAGACATTGTAATAATAATAATATTTTAATTCTTAAACGAGGGTAGATGAAGATGTCTATGGGCCACAACATCCTCTTAACATCAGGTGGACTGTATTCTTGTTGTGTAAAATGAAATATTTTTATATCAATATATACTATGTACTTATAGTACTGATATAGATTTATATGTTGTGTAGTTATTTAATAAGTTTAATATTGTTTTAGAGAAATCAAAGCAAACGTTTGAACTATTAATGTTAATTTATTATTAATGTAATCCTTACACAAGAGAACAATGAAACCTGAATGGCAAATATGCAGTGAAATCCTTAAGTAAATATGACGACGTTTAACAAAGAACGTCGTACCTTTCCAGAACTCTTATTTCAAAGGAATAAAATCGATAATGTGAATTGCTGATTCATTTTTACAGACAACAACAGTTCCAATTATAGTTTTGATTTGGTATAAAATAATCAAGGCACATAGTACAAGTACAAACGTGTGATTGCTTTCATGTATGTGCGCGCGCAAAATCTTTAAAACGCAAAATGGCGTGTGAAGTACATACAGGTGTGAACGACATTTTCACTAAAAACCAAATCCATCACATCTTAAAGCAATCGCTTGGGGTTGCCAACTTTCAACTTATTGCTTGTGACAAGCGGCCAGCAATGACTGGAATGGCTGGGTTCCTCGGCGACCACTTTAGGGTGACTTTACACGTGAAAGTCGACGGGTTTGATGAGAAGATAAAGTTATTCGTGAAGAGCGTGCCTGTCTGTAACGCACCTAAGGCCGAGTTCATAAATATGAATCTTAATTTTTAGGCGTTAGTAGAACATACCTTGTGCTTTCGCTTAAGGCATGCAATATTGCACATATCCCCCTCACTAGAGTTTTTGTCTATTGAAATACAAACAAAACAATAAATTAGTGTTAATAACAAAAATAAATTAATTTAATAGGCTGTAAAGGTCGCGGTGTAGAAAAAAACATCGTGAGGAAAACTGCATGTGTGAGGAATATAATACTTCTAAGAAGTGTAAAGTTTTACAATACGCACTATCAGAAATCACCACCAGTAGTGGGATGTATGTAGGCTGTAACTGTAACTATTTTTACCTACCTTACATAAATAGGATAGCTATTTGTCGGGCGTTCACCGTAGCGTTTTTCTTTAGATAATCTTGCGCCATTTAAGGTTGGCATACACGTGGTAGAATCATGCTGCAGCTATATAGCTATATTGGTTGTAGCACGAATGGGTCGGCTGGAAGGACCACGCTCTCACAGGATACCAGCATATAATAACAGCTCAATGCTGCTGTTTCGTATGGTGAGTGTAAAGTACCGAAGACCATTTTTACTGAACATGAGGCCTTTCATCTTAGTCCTCAGTGGGTCAGGGGTGACAACGCCTACTGTACGACGGTATCATTGGTCTAGTGGTCGTAAACGCTATTGCTGATAATATGGTCTCGGGTTCGAATCCCGCGTCAAGCCAAAATTAGTTATTCGGCTTTTCTGTCAAGAAATTCTCAGTAGCAGTCGGGAGTTATGAAGTTCTTTTTTATAGGATAAGGGTGACAAACGAGCACACAGTCCACCTGATGGTAAGTGGTTGCTACAGCCCATGAACATCTACATCTATCCTCTATTACAGATCAAAATGCAAATGTGTTGTCACCCGTGAGGACTAAGGTGGAATGCCTCTTTTCCAGTAAAACGGGTCTTTCAAAGTTGGCGGTGTTTCACCCCCGTGTCTCAGAAAACACGTAAAGCCGTTGCAACTGCGCCTGATCTCTCTCCAGTCCTGTTGGTTTACTGTCCCATCGGACTATGAGAGTCAGGGAAGAGAGAGTGCATCTTGTGCTTGCGCATATACTTGGGCACTATAATCCTGTCCTGCGCAGATGGCTAGTCTCCGTTAAGTTTATTTTCTGTGATGTTGGTGTTGTTAGTCTATGTGGCTCTTACAGGTTCATTTGACACAAGGCCCGCGGCCTGAGCCGAGGCCGCGAGCCATTTAAAAGAAAAAGGGAAAGGCAATGATAGGGATGAGGATGATGATGGTTTATGAATTAGTATTGTTACCAATCATCATGTCCCCTCTGTTGAGGTTTTTTGAGCTATCTAACCGCTGTACGAGTGGGGGTGTGCAAATCTTCGCCTCTAACTGCTCAGGTCGCGTCGGTCGATGTTCTCGGCGGTGAGAACCGCCCAGCTACGCGGGTGTACGGTGTGTACTGGAACGCCCCATCCGTTATCTTACTTGTGCTTGTCTCATTTGGTGTGGGTGTAGTGTCAGTGTATGATGTGCATGCGACGTTTGGGTCGACGGGTTATTCTGTAAGTACGTTACGCGGTCTACGGAGAGTTCGCGCGATGTTTGGTATCGGGACATAGTTGACCGCCGCGACCGAAATTCAGTCTGGAAGACATTGTAATAATAATAATATTTTAATTCTTAAACGAGGGTAGATGAAGATGTCTATGGGCCACAACATCCTCTTAACATCAGGTGGACTGTATTCTTGTTGTGTAAAATGAAATATTTTTATATCAATATATACTATGTACTTATAGTACTGATATAGATTTATATGTTGTGTAGTTATTTAATAAGTTTAATATTGTTTTAGAGAAATCAAAGCAAACGTTTGAACTATTAATGTTAATTTATTATTAATGTAATCCTTACACAAGAGAACAATGAAACCTGAATGGCAAATATGCAGTGAAATCCTTAAGTAAATATGACGACGTTTAACAAAGAACGTCGTACCTTTCCAGAACTCTTATTTCAAAGGAATAAAATCGATAATGTGAATTGCTGATTCATTTTTACAGACAACAACAGTTCCAATTATAGTTTTGATTTGGTATAAAATAATCAAGGCACATAGTACAAGTACAAACGTGTGATTGCTTTCATGTATGTGCGCGCGCAAAATCTTTAAAACGCAAAATGGCGTGTGAAGTACATACAGGTGTGAACGACATTTTCACTAAAAACCAAATCCATCACATCTTAAAGCAATCGCTTGGGGTTGCCAACTTTCAACTTATTGCTTGTGACAAGCGGCCAGCAATGACTGGAATGGCTGGGTTCCTCGGCGACCACTTTAGGGTGACTTTACACGTGAAAGTCGACGGGTTTGATGAGAAGATAAAGTTATTCGTGAAGAGCGTGCCTGTCTGTAACGCACCTAAGGCCGAGTTCATAAATATGAATGGTTATTATAAGAGGGAGATGGTGGCCTTTCAACTTTCCGAAGAAATGCGTGGAGCTGAAGGTATGTCAAATTTATTTGTACCTTTCTTACACCAGATTGAGTGTAAAATGGAGTTTTTGAGAGAAATCTCCTGACGCATCTGTAACAGCCTTTCATAATCCACTATTTGGTCGCTCAGCGAGCTACGGAGACGGCTACGCTCGGAGTCTCTCTGCGTGATAGGTTTGTATTGAAACCTTTTCGCAGTAGAACCAGCGTAACCGATATACGACGGCCTCAACGGATCAGTAAACTGAAGTGGCAATGGGCCGGCCATATAGATTAAAGCATCGATAACCGATGGGAAAGAAAGGTCCTCGAGTGCCACGTAAGCGAAGTGTACGACCGCCCCCACTAGATTCAGTGACGATGATGAATAAAGTTGTCAATGGACTCTTAGGATGTTGCTAATTTTTTAATGTAGCACCCATAGATATAATAAAAGAAGAATATTTGTATGGTAGCACCAATTAAGTTAGTTAAGTTAGTCTGTAGAAATATTGATAATCAAAAATTGGCAGGCGCTTGAATTTCATAGCTTGTCTGTAACGTCGGTGATCTAAAAATTAAAAAAAAATATTTGACGTAATCTTCTTTAATTGTGTTCTTATATTCTGTCAATAGGCAGACCTTATTTATCAAAAGGTTTAAAATATTTATTAAGCAAATATTGTTTGATATTAACCCCTAGGAATGAAGTGGTGGCTACCATGCTGTTTCTAAATGTTTCCATAACAATTATATAAATCTTATATAGTAAGTTATGCTTGTAAAAAAAGTCTCGCTGGGTTTCTTGCTGGTTCTTCCCAGGACACTTGTTTTTTTTGCGAACCAGTGGTAAAAGTTAATGAATTTCAATAAGAATTACATGTAATCAATATTGAATAAAAATATTCTACTTTATTCTATTCTATTCTATCTGCTTATAATAGATAACCGTTGAACATAGACGTCACATAGTAAAAAAAATACTGCAATCTTTATTATTGGTAAGCGGAAACGTGACCGCAGCATAAACGTACCTACTTTTAATCATCGACTTCCCCTAGTTTCAAGTACACTGCCGTATATATAACATAACGCATGTGAAATGGTAATTGGTCCTATATATTAATTGTTAACTTTACAGAATATTAAAAGAACGTGCCAGAGCCGCGTTGCAACTATATTATAGTTGTAGCATTATAAATAATAGTACAAGTAGTAGGACCACGCTCTTACAGAATACCAGCGTAAAATAGCAGCTTAATGCTGCAGTGTTTCGTATGGTGAGTATAGAGAACCGGTGACCCTTTTTACAGGATACCAGGCATTCCATCTCAGTCCTCGGGGGTGACTAAGCATCTGTATTTTGATGCTTAACTGAGGGTAGAGGTAAATGTCTATGAGCCACATAATTCACTTGCCATCAGGTGGACTGTGTCCTCGTTTGTCACCCTTATTCTATAAAAACAAAAAATAACAATAAAAAAGAACTCAAAATGGTAATATATACCCATAACAAGAAAGTATACCAATATTTTTTAATTTTTTATTGTCAGCTTCATATGACAATTTTTGAATTTGCTCTCTTAGTTTAATAATAATGGCACAGAACTATTTACTGGATGCCATACACGATCCAGTTTACCGTCAAGCTTGCAGCGCGCTTGAAGCGGCGTCCGGTAAACTTGACGGTGTATGGTTATCAGTGTTCATGACAAGTCTACTTGAAGCAAATATTGAATTTAAGTATTGGCATATTTTGTTGTCGCACGGATGGGCCGGCTCGAACCGGGGTGGTACCACGACCTCACAGAATACCAGCGTGAAGTAGAGGTTTACCTCTGCGTTTCGCTTGGTGAGCGCAGGTGGCCGGAGGCCCTTTTTACTGAAAATGAGGCATTCCATCTTAGTCCTCACGGGTGACAACGCATCTGCATTTTGATTTGTAATAGAGGATAAATGTAGATGTCTATTGGCCACAGCAACCACTTACCATCAGGTGGACTGTGTGCTCGTTTGTCACCCTTATCCTATAAAAAAAAATTCCATTCTGCCGATTTGATCAAGCTTGCAGCGTCATGTAAACTTGAACGTGTATGGCATCCATAAGATTCATTGTACTGTGAAATATCTAGGACTTTTTGTTCGGATACATCCGATAATATAACATAAACATACACGCATGGCACTCAGAGGGGTAGGCAGAGACTACGGACTTTCATTTGGCACGTAACACACCTCTCTTTCCTCCTTCACATCCATATATCTACGCATACATGCTCGTCAGTTAAGGGTTTAACTGACGAGCATGTATGCGTAGATATAATTTGCCTCAACTTTAATATATCGTCAATTTGGTCAATAAATTTTCATGATGACTCTGGCATTCATTTCTGCAACATAAATTGGCTTCGTCGCTCTTTCCTCGTTCATTCTTTTCACATGATCTCTCGTTTACATTCCATTAAATTAATTATTACAAAAAAGTACTTGATGTTGTGTAATTCCTTCTAGGACCGAATCCTTGGTGCGCAAAAGCATATTTGTGCAATGAAAGGATTCTCGTGATGCCGGACTTAGCCCTCGATGGTTACAGAACATTTATGAACCATGAAGTCCTCGATCTCAAGCACACGCTGTTAACAACGGCGTCAATTGCGCGTTTCCACGCGTCCTTTGCTAACTATGTGACTAGACGTACGTTACACGACAAAAGTTTCGACTTCACTCGGGAGTACAGCAATGTGTTGACAGAACCTACGTTCTGTGATTCTCCGTGGTTGAGAGCGGCCGCCAAACTAACTGTGAATCTCCTGAAGGCATTCTCTGATAGATTCGACCAGTATCCCCAAGATTTGGAGCCTACACTTGTCAAACAGTTCATAGATGCCTGTGCCATACTTAGAGAATACGAGGAAACCCTTAACGTGCTGCTTCATAAGGATTTGTGGGTAAATAACATCATGTTTAAGTATAGCGGAGATGTACCTATAAATGCTTTACTTATAGATTTTCAGTGCATACGATTGGGACCCCCAGCATTCGATCTAATGGTATTCCTATATTTGACCACTGTGAAAAAGTTTAGAGAGCGATATGAACAGGAAATCTTCAACCATTACTTCACAATCTTCTCAGAGACTGTGGATATCGACACAAAGAACAGGCTGAAAGAATTAAATTACAATTTAAACGCATTTGTAGGTTGGTGCGAGAGAAGTCGCATGTTTGCTATTTTTGAAGCTATTGGGATACTCCCGTATGTGTTGATGGATCCTACAACTGCACAGAAGACCTTTGACGACCCGGCCACTTTTGTTAAGTACTGCGACGAGGACCGGAGTGAACCCGTGCTCGCTTACTGCCGCAAATCGAATGTCTATATGGAAAGGCAACTGGAAGTCAACGAGGAGTTTGTCGAGCGATATGTACTGAAGCAACTATGAATATTTAATTTTTTTCAAAAATTTTAGACATAATTATTTGTAGAAACTAGCCTTCACTTTTATAAGTGGGAACTTTTAAGTTGGTAAGTGGGCTCGTCAGTACACTTATGTTGTTGTAGTTCATAAATTTGTAACTAGCTAGTTCTCCTAAAATCGTAATAAAAATAAAAGAAAAGGATTGCCTTTGAAGTTATTTAATAACTAATATGAGTCTCACTATAAAAGAAGCATTTAGCAGTGTCAAAATAATAAAGCAATTATATATAATTGTGTTTTTCAGTTTTCTACTTCCTTGTCAACCCTTAACTGTATTCTGTTTGGGATATTCCGTTGGCGATGCTTAGCTGACCGATTGTGACAATTGTAATATGTTCACAATAATGGTTTAGATTATTTCCAGCTGCTGAATTGTACCACCATTGTAAACCGCGACAGAACTCGGAAATTCCATCCTCGTCATCTCGATGGTTGGTACCACTACCGTGAGATTCACGCGGAATTTTCTGCCTCACACGACCATACTATGAAATTTACTGTCGCCAGCGGCTTTTCCGGACCAATACGGCTTAGCGACCTTCAAGTAAAGAGCCTACTCCTTTCTAAAAGGCCGGCAACGCACCTGCAGTTGCCCCGGTGTTGCAGATGTTCACGTGCAACAGTGATCACTTACCATACAGCGAGCCGTATGCTCGTTTGCCTCCTCTTTCTTAAAAAAATCTGACGTCACGCACCGGAACCATAAGAGCAATGATTAAAATGAGAAGCAATGTATTCTATTAGGTCGCCAGAACTCTTCGAAAGCTTAGTTATTTTATTTCTTGTCAATAATTAAGACTTATTAGCTCCTAGTGTATCTATCTATTTAGGTATGTAACGGAATCTTTTATTTTTCACCAATTTGTAGGCGACCAATTAACTTGAAAACATGCACTCGTATTAAAGACCGATGACAATACAATTTAAAGTTAGAAGTTAAATTAGTGTAAAAACAACGAATTAATGCACAAACACAGAGGCTATCTCGAGTTCCGTACGTGATTGTAATGTTTATAATACAATAAATCAAACAAAAATTATAGAGTTTTACAATACACACTTAATCCAGTATGGCATTCGATTCCAGTATGTAATTACGTAGAAAAGCCACACTGCAGTTGTATTATGGTTGGATACAACACAAAATATTAACGTAAAATATAGCAGATAGACATTGACATAGACATATGTTTTATTGCCATCAATATACTCACAGGAAAAAGTAGGAAGAAAACATAAAGTTAAAAGTTAAAGTTACAGCCTATATGCGTCCCACTGCAGGGCACAGGCCTCCTCTCTTTTCTGAGAGGGTTTTAGGGCAAGGAAATGTCCGCCGCGCTGCCCCAATGCGGAGTTCAATGTCTTCGAAGTATTTTTTTTCTTATTTCTCAGACATGCAGGTTTCTTCACGATGTTTTCCTTCGTCGCCGAGCACGTGGTAAATCAGCACTTGCAAAGCAAAATTGCAATTAACAATCTCATTGGTGCCGGCGGGATTCGAACCCGGGTTGCCCGCGTACTGTGAAATTTACAGCGAGCGCTAACCATCTGAGCTACCACGGCTCCTGAAGATAAGGGAAATATAAATTAAAATAAAGATTAAAAGTAAAGTAAAGTTGCAGCATATTTATGTCCCACTGCTGGGCACAGGCCTCCTCTCATTTCTGAGAGGGTTGTAGGGCAAGGAAATGTCCGCCGCGCTGCCCCAATGCATGTTGGCGAATTTCACATATCTTCGAAATATATATTTTTTTCTTATTTCTCAGACATGCAGGTTTCTTCACGATGTTTTCCTTCACCGCCGAGCACGTGGTAAAGATTGCAGCAAGAAAATCACTTTCCGTGAGTGATGTGATGCGTAAAAGGTTTTCGAGTCGGTATTTCCGACTCAACGTATGCTACTGCAGGTATTTTTTTTTGTAGAACTAGTGTGATAAAACGAACGTACAGCTTACCTAATGGTAAGTGTGTGTCTGTGGCCTATAGACATCCACATTTTATCATCGAGTAAGAATCAAAATGTAGATGCGTTGTCACCCCTGATGACTAGAATGGTGTACCTCGTTTCTAGTTAATGGGGTGTCCGGATCTCTACACTTACCTTTGCGCTTAATGCATGCAATAGGTATGGTAACTAACGTGGTATATGATAATAGGTATGGTACTAGCGCCTAAAAATCAAGATTCCAACGTTTTGTCGGATTAAATCGTATCTAACAATCATATTGAACACATAAATGATATAAAAAGCACATTGTCGGAAAGATAAATGATTGTTGAACTTATTATTATCTTTTCTAAATCGATTAATTGCTATTTTTACATAAAAAGTGGCTTTAGTGGCTTATGGTGTAGATTTTCAAGTCCGCATGGAGTGGTAAACACGATAACTTTTGAAAATTCTATTTTATAATCTCTTCATCTATCATGTGGGAAGCCATGGAATATGAATGGCAGTTTAATTTTGTTTTGTTTAGTTATAATTAATTTAGTTATAAAAACGAAATTTTCGGTGTTTTAGCAGCCTTGTATTAATTTATTTTACTAAATAGACTGCTTCACCTACTCACTAGTCACTTCGGCGTCAACCGCCGTCGTGAGTGGAGTATTTGTTGTTTGCACCGGCTCAAAAAGATCGCTGTACAAATACAAAATATTCGAATAACCAAATTTCATACACACTTGATTATTATAATAATCACAGATTTTTACTACAATATTTTAAAAGCGCAGAATAAATAATAGGAGTACGTGCTAAAAGTAATAAGGATGTATATATTTATACTTAATATATACGTCTTGGACTTTATGGAGTGACCTGAATGATGATCATATGAGCATTATGAGTCGTGCACTTTTGGATTTTCCAAACTTTTTTTTCAAACTTCAACATAAAATTATTGGAAAATTGGAAGTATAATAAGGTTATTAGTGAAAACTTGTGTGTATTTTAACTACTTTAAAAATCTGTATAATCATGTTATACGTAATTTTTTTAATGCGCTTAGGGCATGTACAATTGGATTTACATAAGTTTTTATTTTACACTGGTATTCTGTGAGAGCGCGGTCCCACCCCGGTCGAGCCGACCCATTCGTGCTACAATCATAAAATAACTGCAGCATGGTTCTAGATTAGCAGGTAAGCAGGTACTGCAGCAGCGCTAATTTTATGCGGAGCCCTGATTTAATATTGGTATTCGTACTGCGAAGGCGTCCTCATCGGTGAAAACTTTCTATTTTAAAAATAACGAATCAACAATTTACTCAAAGTATACATTATCAAGTGTATAAAAGTCATAAACACATCATATACATACAAATATATACACACATTCAGATATATACATAAAAGTGGATGTCCTGAGTGACTGACTCATCTATCAACGCACCGCCCAAACCGCTGGACGTAGAAATTTGAAGTTTGGATAGTATGAGTATAAGTTATGATATACGTAGGATACCTACATCATTACGCTAGAAAGCTAGAAATAATTTTGGGAAATTCAACACTTAAGAAGTTGAAACAGGGTGTATATAGGAAGGGCGATTGGCTCGAAACTTTTAAGGGGTTTTTACGTTTATCCACATTAAAAACCTACCCTGGTGTTCATCTATTCACCCCAGATGGGGTGGATCGTCGGAATTCGTATTCTCGGCTATGTACAGTTATTTATAGAAACATGATAAAAACTGGCCCAAAATTAATTAGACATTTTAGTATACTCACAAAAATATATACATACAAACTTCTTGTTTGATAGGTCCACACTGTAAAAAAGGAGTGCCTCACAGGATTACACATTCATAGGAATCTTGGCATAAAACGATTTAAAATGAAGGTAAAGACAAACATCCAAAAGTAAGGTTTTTGGAATGCTTGCAAAAAAATGCAAGTTTTTCGCTAACACTTCCGTTGTAGCTAAGAAATTTAAAAAACCCTTGATATACATTAAGAGATACGAATTTATCCTGGATATCAAATTACTTCTATTCAGTAATGAAATTAGTGTCGGTAATTTCCTTGACATATCGCAAATTATATGTACGTGGTAGAGCCATGCTACAGCTAAATTAATAGTATAGTTGTAGCATGAATGGGTCGGCTCGACCGGGGAAGGACCACGCTTTCACAAAATACCAGCGTAAAATAGCAGCTTAATGCTGCTGTGTTTCGTTTGGTGAGTGTAGAGAACCGGAGACCCTTTTAACTGGAAAAGAGACATTCCATCTTAATCCTCACGGCAGAGAACGCATCTGCATTTTATTCGCAAACGAGGATAGACTATGGCCACAGCAACCACTTACCATCAGGTGGACTGTGTGCTCGCTTGTCACCCTTAACGTATACAAAAAAAAAATATAACGAGTAACGAGGAATTTCATATTAGTGCTCAGCGGTGACCACGTATGTACATTTTGATTCTTAATCGATGAAACATCTTTAGACCATAGCATCCTCTTACCATCAGGTGGACTGTGTGCTTGTTTATCATCCTTACTCTATTTAAAATAATTTAGAATTAAAAATTTTGTACAACCGACTTCGCTATAAGTTATTAAAGATAACACAAAAACTATTGGTCAGACCTTGATCAAATTTATATGGGACTACATATGAAACACCAGCTTTCAATTAAAAAAAGAATAATCAAAGTTGGTTCACCCATAAAAAAGTTATGAGGTAACACACATAAAAAACATACAATCGAATTGAGTACCTCCTCCTTTTTGAAGTCGGTAAAAAAGTAGGTTACATGTGCAAACACATGTGTTTTATTGCCAATAATACCTTCCATGTTACAAAGTGCAATTGAATATTGTTAAAAAAATCCTGTCATGGATGCCGATCAACCTCGGTACGGGCAATGCCAATTGATAATGACAGATGCGTTCTCATTACCCTTAAACGTGTAACAACTTGCCGCTGTTAAAAAGATCTATGTGTTTATTGAAACAGACTTATTATTTGGCGTTGAATTTATTTAAAGTGATTTATAAGACTACGAGGTGCAACAGTGTTATGTTATAGTACCTATGAGTCGGCTAACCGGGGAAGGACCACGCTCTCACAGAATACCACCGTTAATAGCAGCTTAATACTGCTGTATTTGGTATGGGGAGTGTAGAGAACCGGAGAATCTCTTTACTGGAAACAAGGCATCTTAGTCCTCAGCGGTGAAAACAGATTCTGAATCGAGGATAGATGTAGATTCCTATGGGCTACAGCA